ATTACAACAGGTACGAGGTGGTGAGAGAGATTTGGAAAGGGGTCATGGTGCCTGGCTTGACTTTTGGAAACGCAGTGCTATGCATGAAATCCGAAGTGCATGCGAGACTAGAAATAAAACAGCGCGGAGTAGGCAGACTGGCTTTGGGGGCACATTGCAAAACGCCAAACCAGGGAGTACAAGGAGACATGGGATGGGCGTCATTTGAGAGCAGGGAAGCGGTGAGCAAGATGGAATTTGAGGATAGCGGTTGAGGCAAATGGATGGGGAGCAATGGGCACGAAAGGTTTTTAGCTATTTATACATGAGGAGTGTAGACACAAAGTGGAGACAGCGCACTAGGAAATTAAGAGGAAAGTTTTTGGGTTATAGCGAAGATACGGAAGAGCAAGTCTCAGTTAAGAAGAAAGTTAAGGCCACAGAAAGAGATCGGTGGCTAGAGGGAATGCAGACAAAGACGGCTCTGGAAAGCTATAGATTAAACAAAACAGTTATTGCCAAAGAAAGCATTTATGACAATTCTAGGGGAAGCTCATTGCTGTTTAAGGCGAGGACGGGTGTTCTGCGAACCAGAACATACAGAGTGAAGTACCAGGAAATGGATACAGTGTGCACTGCTTGTGGAGAGGAGGACGAGACGGCTGAGCACTTGATACTCTACTGTAAAGAGCTTCACCCTATGCCTACCGAAGACAACATAGATTTAATAAAGTCATTGGGTTTTATAGACAGCGAAGGGAGAGTGAATTTCAAGACTGTAGAGATTACCAAGCAAAGATTAAGTGAATGGTGGCAGAAATCGAGAGAAAACTAGGCATTTTCTTATTCACTGATGGCAAGGGAGTTTCATAGCCTCACTTTCTTTGCACTGCGGAGTGAATATAGATTTCACATTTAAATATTCTAAGCTTAAATGGTAAAACAAAATGGCTAGGTGGCGTAAGCTACCGCCCGATCCAAAGGGCTCAGCCGTATTCATCCATCCATCCATCCATCCAGCCTACGGAAGCCAGAGTTGCGCGTTCATCCCCGAGGCGCGCGGCACGGTCAAAAGCAAGGGCAAGTACGGCGGAGCGCGCGTACGTCTACTTTCCTGCACGGCACTTGATCTGGCTCCTCACGTGATCGGATCTCGGCGAATAGCGGCGTGGCGGCACGTGGAAAACAAACGCGCAACTCTGGCTCCCGTAGTGACCCTATACAGGAACTCTAATTTAGCTTAAAGCCCCTATATCAGTGGTGTCAAACTCAGTTGAGCGTAAGGGCCAGATAGCCCACACTGGGAGGGCCGAGGGCCAATGTTAGACTGATGGGAAGGGTCAAGCAATTTCGAAGTGAGAGATCTTGTGCTCGACGCTTTTTGTAAACCCAGTTTAGCCAGAGACATTTTTAGATTTGATTTGTTCATACTAGTTTGGGCCCTTACCTGGTGTGATAACAATAACTAAAATGACACCGCCCCGCCAACGGGGTCGCATTTTTAATTGAACAAGAGCAGGTACACTGTCGTTCCCCTTGTCCAATTCACTCAGGGATTAACCAAGCTCGACATGTCCCTAAAAACAATCAGTTAATTTGGCAGTTTTAGCTTTCCTGACGATTTCTAGTTCAACACCCATACTTCTTTTAATGATGATATATATATATATATATATATATATATATATATATTTTTTAAAGGCGAGAATTCCGTGCTCGTAGCTTTACATTCTTCAGTTCTCCTGCTGATCGGGAGTTCGCGCATCCAAGATGCATCCTTCAACAAAAAGCTCGCGCTTGCAGCGGAATTACTGTAAATTACGAAAATCTGGGAAGCAAAACATAAAGCGAGACAAAGGGCAAATGAACACAGATAAGTAAAAGCTATGTGAATACGTGAAAAGAGTGGAGCTACTTTTCAAGCGAAAATGAATCGGCGAGATGAGATCACGATGGCGCATGCCATTTCTAGCGCTTGTGACATGGGAACCAGGACTGGCAGCAGGTTGCCTGCGGGCCGCATGCGGCCCGCGGGCCGTTCATTGTTGCAGAAAAGCTTGAGGCACGTGCCGCGCGCCACCTCAGGGAAATTCATGGTGTCTTAAATCAAGCTCAGTGCTGCGCTGTGCTGCCATGATCTTTCCAAGGGCTGCACGCTGCACGTCCATCGACGCACCTTGCCCTACCTACTTCTGAAACATGAAGGGGCTTTAATTTAGCTCGGTTTCGGTGGACGCCAGCGCTCCAGGTTTCAAGGGTGTTTCCCAACAGACTGTTTTAATAACGCCGGTTTTCATTTTTTCAATTTGCAGCCTACTTTGTTAATATGAAGAAAAATATTTAAATATATGCAATTATGAACACATCTTATTATCCCTTTCAGCTGAACTCAGCAAGGGGCGAATTTTGCGGCCCATTCGAGCCAATCAGAGCAAACTCTGCGTTACAGCTCTCTAAAAGTCTGCAGCGATTGGCTCGCTGGGGCCGCAAGCTCTCCCCGTTTGCTAAATTATTCTGAAACGAAGTGCAACCAAAACACTGTCACCCCGATTCTACCTAGGATGTGCGGAGAGTATGTATGTCTGTTATGAAGTTTTGTCTGCTCATTTTTACTTTCTACACAAGGATTGCCGTGGCACAGTTCTGAAATAAATGTTAAGGAATTGATGAGCGCACTACAAAATTGCCTTTAAAGGGACAATGAAGGCGATTTTAATTTTTTTTTTAAATGGTGTTTTTAGGCTTCTTGGGAACTTGGCATACTGCCCAATTTTTTTATAGACATTTGTGACGCGTATTTCTGTATTTACGAAAGAACTGAAGAAACCGAAACTGAACTATCTGCGTTTCTCGTTTTTGGGCCTCCGAAAACGGAGGTGACGTGGGGAGTGACGTCACATGTGAATTGTCGGTACGGGCAGCATTTAGGGCGTCGAGACTCTGGTTACCGCGGTGGGTTATAGCAGCGCGGTGGCGGGGTCGTTTTGTTTGACCAACATGAACGGCAATGCCGCTCTCGCGAGCGAATTCGGGCTCCCGTTCAGGGACCTGACACCAAAAGAACGGGAGATGCTCCTAAGGACACGGAACTCTGGAATGCCTCTTTACGAGGACGCCCACCTGAAGATTGTGTTCAAAGTCTCCTGACCGAAAACGTAGCGCACAAATTCTGACGCCATCGCCGAGACCTCTGCGCAAGACAACGCTGTTCAACCAGACTTCGCAATGCTTCATCGCTTGGGAGTAGGTGAAAACTAGCGTTGCCCGAACGATCACGGGTCTTCAGTCGACCGTTTGAACATTTTTCAACTGCGCACAAATTTGGCATGGCTACCGCTTTGCAGAATCCCTCGAGTGCCCTGTTCCTAAAGTAAACACGGCACCGACATCTGAAACCATAACCAAAAAAACTCCCGCGTGCTCCGCGCTGTGTTCTTTATTTTATATATTTTGTTTGCCCATAGTTGCTCGTTTCGCGTGCAGTGTAGCAAAGAGAAAAATAATTATGGTGTTTTATTTACGGTTTAGTTATCATTTTCGGTTCGATTTATAGTTTTCATGGTTATTCAAGTGGAATTAGAAGTGTTCATAAAAACCACGAACCAAAGCGTGACCGAGGGCACGTTTCTCGTTTCGACCAATCGCTGACGCGTCTCTTGTGACGTCACGCTTCCAGGCCCCGCAGGGCATGGAGAATAGAAGGGTAGGAGAGGGCATGACGTCGGCCGCGTAGCCTCCACAAGCCATGCTCCCTTGACGCCTCGCCACTTTCTCATTTCCCTCCTTACTCACCCCGCCAACGTGACCACATCACGTGACCGTAGCTAGCCTTCGTCTTACTGTAGGCTACTAGAATACACCACAGTCTAACCTTCGATCTGATAAAACCTACCGGACGGAGCGCGCGCAAGCCTGCAAGGAGTCCTTCTACAATCAACCATCCATCTCACACGTGACATGTCACGCGCACCAATCGCCAGAGATCTGCTGTCACGCTGGGCACAAAATCGTTTCAACTTTTTATGACTAGGCTTCACCAATATTGCAACGTGCCCTCTCCTAGTACTTCTAACCTCCTTGCCGCAGGGTCACGTGACCTCCGCTTCTGCTGGTTTCTCCCGCAATGCTCGGGGCGTCGCCTCGATCGATCCCGGTACGATTATTACCGCGACTGTTTAATTGATTTGCGCGGCACACAAGCGCTTGTTTCGGCTGAAATTCGGGCATCGTGGCCTGAGGCGTGCCGGGAACATAGTTCAATCGCCAAAAAAATATCCGAAATTGCTTTCATTGTCCCTTTAATGACGCTGGCACTGCACGATTGCACGCACACGACATCCGTTTCCATTTCATTCGCACATAGGGCGAGGCGGAGGCCAGAAAATGTATCCAAACTCTGCACTGTAAGGCATACAATATCCAAGGGTACCGAAAGGTGTTCACCTTCATTGGCGTCCATGACATACAAATAACATTTCCATGAAATACTCTTGAACTAAAAAACTTCAAATTTCATGCTCTTCATAATTATACTCTGGAAAGGCACAATTATGCCCCATTCATTCGCACATATACACCATATTGTTACTGTGAACAAGCAATTGCCGCTTTTCTTATGAATGGCCGTCAACAAAACTAGGTGTGGTGGGAAATGGCCGTCAGCAAAACTAGGTGTAGTGGGAACTGCTCAGTTAGGGCACTAACCTAGGCAGTAAAATTGGATTCCCGCCAATACCGTTGAGTGTCAATGTCGTGTTTGCACTGTGTCGCAGTTTACCATGCCCTTTGCTCAAACTATTCTAGTTAGAACGACTGATTTGATTGGAAAGTCATTTGAATGTGTTTGTCAGAGAAAGAGGGGTAAGGTACTTTTGCACAAGATAGGCATCAGAGAGGTTGTGGGGGGGGGGGGTCTCTTGGTGAACATTACAGGTCCTAAGGTTGAGTTTCCCGGTGTCCATAAAACTTCAGAAAGGAATGTATGCTGGGTCCACGGGATATCAAAACACCAAAGCATGGCATCGATTGCAGAACAACAAATCAAGTAAAGATTTATTCAGGTGATTCTGCTGCATCTCTTGTCATCTACAAAAATTTTAACATCTGCTATATCGAGCGCTCCTTGTCTCTGGTGGAAGTGTTTCCCGTCCTGCAATCATGGACAAATGAAACCAAGTCCGGCCTTATCCCACCGCTCGTGGAACGAACAGGCGCATTCACAGCAGGTGTTTCTCCCCCTAAAGAAAGACTCCAACACAAAAACCTCTTTCACTTCAGATTACATCAAGTGAAAATGTCTCCGCGCAAAGAATGCCAGGGGCCATGCTACCGCCGACAGAACAAAGTATGCCGTGCAAGCAGAGTTTCCAACTAAAACTAAAATAGACCACGCTACCCAGATTGTGCCATTCTTTGAATCCAGAAAGTGCCAGTGTATAAAAAGGCGAGCAAACCAAATCACAGCCTTACTCACTTTGTTCTCAGATACCAGGACTCCAAAACAGAAACCTCTCGTAACTGCGCACACACACACACACACCATACAACCAAGTACAACTACTGCATTGCCAAGATAGAACGAAAGCACACTGTTCCGAAGCCGACGCGTCAAATTCTTACCAGTGTCCAACTGCTATGCTGGAATATGAACTCTTTTCTCACACATGGTCTGTCTGCGTGGAGAGCCATATTGGTACAAACATGCTCAAACTACTTGTGAAAACAAAAACACAGTGACAATAGCGGTCTAAAGCCACAAGACGAGGCCAATTTTGCACAAAGTACCGAAGAAGGCAATCCTCGAGGTGCGAGAGGCCCTTAGGACATCTGACGCCGTCTAGCTGTGATCAAGTTTTAGAACTCGTGCTTACGCAGCTGTCTTGAACGACCCGTCACTCCTTAGAATCAAAAGGCCACGACTTGTCCCTGATCCCCCGCCTCTTCGAAGAGACCAATGCTAACAAGAATTGAGTGATACTCACAAACAAAACGCCTCGTAATTTAAAGCCAGTTTCCCCAATAGCTAGTCGAATTGAGCCAACTGCTTCGCCCCAAACAAGGCAATGACAGTGAAAGAAATGCGACAGAGTTGGGCAATATTGCAAGTGCCGTGGTGTTACATACTCCAGCTACATTTCTTTCACTGCACGGCATGGAGAAACCGTCACATCCTTTGGGGTGATGACAGTGAAAAAAAAAAAGTTTAATTTTGTTAAGCTTAGAGAACTTGCTGAACAAACTACTAGTCTTAACCCAACATAAGCAGAAATGTGGAAAAAAAAAGAAACCACAATAAAAGCAGCTAAAGAAAACAAAAACATCTTTTTTTAGCTTAAGGGCGGTCCTCGTGTACACCGCTGCCATGTTTAGTCGGGTTGTGGTCGCTTCTCGGAGTGTTTCTTAGTGAAGTCCTCGGCATTCTTCAGGAACTTCTTCCTGTCTTTGCTGTATTCCTCCGCCAGGTCTGCACGCAGGGGGTGCTCAGGCTCGGGGTCGTTGACTAGTGCAATCAGGGCCTGAATCACTAAGAGACGGAAGAGAGAAAAGGAAAGAACAAAGTACCGTTATTTACCACGATGCAAAGCGATTGCTTCACCTTAAAAGGAAAGTCAAAGGAACATTTTAGACCCAGTAGCCTCAGAAAAACCTTTGTGCAATATTTTGTTACGGCGCTTGTTTTTCAAACATGTTTTCAGTGTGGCCAATAGACTTCCAAAATTTGAAGTGCCCTATTGCGGTAAAATGCATGCAATGCACTCTGGGAACTAGTTGGCCACTCAGTTTCGGTTTCAACTGAGCAGCTTCAGTTCACGCTATCAAGCAGTGACCGACATGCTGCATGTGTCCGACTCCCCACATATGTACAATACGCCAAGCATTCTCGAGCGTTACAAAAGAAAGACCGAGTCACTTTTCTTTGTTCCCAACAAGCCGGATATTGTGTGCGCGTATGCAAATGTAGTAAGACGTGGCTTAGTCACCTCACCCCACGACATTATCTTTGAGCTAATTTTCAATAATCCTGTATAGTATCGGTGAACCACAATTGAAATTTGATCATCCTGTCTAGTATTGGTGAACCACAATTGAAATTTTGATCACTTTGAACCCTACAATATTCTGTTTGCCAAACGTCAGCTTCTTGTTATTTTATTAAGCGAAAAACAAGCCGCATCCTCACAAGATACTCAGAGTTGAGCCCAACGTTAATGCATTAACTTGAAAAAACTCAATAAATTTGCCTTTACTTTGCATAAAACCTTCCTCATGTCATCATATATCTCCCACTCAAATTTTATGCTGATGGGAGAGCAAGTTTTCGCAAACGCTGAGATCGGCTATCTCAACGGAGACCCTAACAGTGTCCCCTACTCCTTGCGAAGACTTTTTGGACGAGCCTTTATAGCCGATTCACACGACGGACTGATCCGCCGACGGATTGATCACGTGACGACATATCCGCGGTTCGTCCATCTCCCAAGCGCATCCACACGAGGGAGACGACGACGAGCAGACGCCAGTGAGGACGGACCGAACCTGTTCGCACACCACAGTGCCGCGAACCTCCAACATCGCACAGTAGCACCGTTGTCCAAGAGAGAAATCGACGGTTGCTACCGCGATAAAGAATCGTACGCCGCTGCTACGTACAGATCGAGAACAAAACACCGGGACGGGCTTCGGGCGAAGCGCCACTAACTTTACTAACCCAAACCATGACAGTGACACAGGCATGATCCTGCCCGAGAAAGCTTCGGCGTAGACGCGACGAACTTCTGGGCTCGCGGAGGGGCGTTTGGAGATGCCTTCACACACTCCGCGCTCGTGCACAACACTCAAGCACACCACATCCACAAGAGAGGGCTTGCTCGGTGAAATCCTGATTGGACGTGCAAGAAATATCGCGGCGTGCTAGACTAGTTTTGACGGGAGCTTCTTGACACGGACCCGGAGGAGCACCGGAACCTGCGTCGCGTCAGCCGGACAAAGTTTCTGGAGTTTTTCTCACGCGTGGAACCAAGAATCGTACGACAAAGTGAACCAACAAACGTACAAAACGCAACGACGCGCCATTTTTGTTTTGAACGCACAGAAGCAAAATACCAAGAAAAACATGTACCGTTGCCAGACGAAATGCTTTCCAAGTCAGTCTGCCGCCAAACGTCCGCGAGTGAAAAAGGCGCTCGACTTTATCAGTCTGCGCCTCCGCGGAGGAGGCGCGGATCGCAGGAATCGGTGACGTGCCGGCCACGTGGTACACGGTCCGCGGACGAAAATCGCGATTTGGTCCGTCGTGTGAATCGGCTATTACCGACGTCCAGGATCTGTCTGTCTGGCCTGAAGTTATCTCGCCATACTCAGTCAAAAAGAAAACAAACACATAACAAATCTTATGGTCATTAGCAACCAACAAATGCGCTTAGAATCCTTTAGTTCGTTTGGTGCACCGCATAGGAGTTCACGCCTGTTTACGTGCCGTCCGGCGAACGGTGCGACATTCTTCACGCAAGTGCTCGACTGTTGCTTTCTTAAAAACGGTTTGTATGTGCGGATGTGCCTATATAATTGCAGGATGACTTCATGCGCATACACAATATTGAATTGGTAGAATGCAAGCGGGTAAGCTCCTCACTTCGTGCAGTGTTGCAGGAAGAGATACAAAGTGCATTCTATTTTAGTTTTTCAATGCCGCCTCCAAGTTTCACTTCGCATACTCAGGCGTATTAAGAAAAGCAATAAGGTCAAAAAGGTAATTCTGTCGATGGGCGCACGAAGTAAGTAGCAAACTTGCTGACCTGCAACATTAATGTAAATGTGCTAGCTCGGTGTATGCATATTTATTGGTTGGTACAGCGGTCTTGACTCGTACACAGGCAAAGTGCCCGAGCTTCACAGTGTCGAGATTCCCAACAATGGCTCATCCGCATGCCTCAAAATGCTTAACAGAAAGGCTCAGGTACACGAATACAACAAGCATGTAACAACTGACAAACTTTACGTATGGTTCAGGCTTGTGATAAAGTTTCAAGGTCTGGCCATTTAGGTTAGCTTAGGGACCAAAAACAATGCGCTTGCCATGAGCAAACATGAGACAACGGCTGCTTTTAGTCCCCGCTCTGTGTATGATCTCTTGCCGACCTGTCTATCAAAACCGATACCATGCCACTCTCCTCCCTGGCCAACTAGTTCCCATAGTGCAACACACACAGTGTTGCATGCAGGGACTTATGGAAGTCCCTGCTTGTTCAAGTACAAAAAACGCTGTTCACAACTCCCTGTAACACCGAATTAGAGCGCAGCTCTTGAGGAGGAGGAGGGAAGGGTACTGGGGGGGGGGTGAAGTGACCTGGGGGGGGTCACGTGACAATGCCGATGATGTCATCAGTGACGACGACGATGACGTCATCGGTGACGACGACGATGACGTCATCGGTGACGACGACGATATCAGTGACGACGACGATGACGTCATCAGTGACGACGACGATGCGGACTCCGATGACATCATCAGCGATGATGACGACGATGCGGATGTCGGTGACGTCATCCGTGATGATGACGATGCGGATGCCAGTGACGTCATCAGTGATGACGACGGTGATGATGCGGATGCCGGTGAGGTCATTAGTGACGTCACTGATGATGTCATCAGTGATGATGACGTCATCGGGGAGGTCACGTGACCTCGGGGGGTGTCACGTGACTTCGGGGGGGGGGGGGGGGGGGGGGGGGGGTCACGTGACCCTGTGGTGGTGATCTTGGGATGACCTTGGGGGTCACGTGACCTTGGTTGCGCCGACGGCGACGCCGCTCAAGCCGGGAACGGGCCCCTAAGAGCTGCGCTCTAACAAAGGTTGCTATCTTTGGGGACAACTCACTGGAGAATTTCTGAAGAGAGGAGGAGTGCTCAAGCGCACCTTGAGTCAACGCTCAAAATGTGCGAGCGCATATGCTCCCTCATTTTTGACTGCATCGTCACAGAAAGTGACTCCAAGTCAGTGGCGTCACAAGGGGCGGGGGCGGACTGCCCCGGGTGCTGCACTCAGGGGGGTGTCGCGGCGGGCTACCGTTTTGGGTGCCGCTGACCCTAGGGACGCCACTGCCCCAAGTATAACAGGGTGCATTTGATGCGTCTGGAAGATGTCGTTGCTGTTTCTCTGCCTTGTGGGGTGAGGCACCAAGAACAAACAGGCACGTAGCCAGGGGGTGAGGAGAGGAGGGGGGGACATGGCCCCCCCCCCCCCCCCCCCCTGAAATCTTCCATTTTGCTGGGGCCTCCTCTCCCCCCTTAAAGCGAGTAGAAATGTGGGTATTCGTGCGGCAGTTATGTCATCGATCGGTGGACGGATAATGTTAAACTCTTCAAACGTTTATGCCGCGGCGCGATTTGAATCGTCTGAGCTATAGTTGGTGATAGGTTAAGAATGCAGCGGCAAATTTCCCTGGAAGGATTCACATCGCTTCGCCAATCAATCACTTCTACTCGTTTTCTGGAAGTCATTCATGAAAGATCTTTCTTTTTCAGTATGGCAGTGTGCACTTTTGGCAAGACAACACCAAGAGACGTCGCCACCTTACAGTGTTGCAGTGGTGTGTGTAAATATTGCTTTTATTATAAATTAAAGAATAAATAAAATAGAAAGGGGGATGCAAGACGCATTGTTAGTCACCCATGGAGGGGTCTGGTTCGTCGTCTTGCGGGGATCGGGAGAAAAAGAGGATAGGGTAGGAGGTGACAATGGGGACGGGCGTATTTACAGAAATGAAGGGTATAGCCGCTGATACGATGGAAGGACAGGTCGCATCCCACCGCCGCTCCAAACGCAGCCGGAGCATGCGCTCCCCTGCTGGGCAACGACTTCAAGAAGCCGAAGCGCCACAGGGGCACGAGTGCCCCCGCCACGAATAGGGCGACGGAACGAAGCACCCGCCACTTCGACCCATCGGAGACCATAGGATGAAGGCATGTCGTATGCTAGTTCACAGTCTGGATGACAGGTTTGTCATTTCTAAAAAGTCAATGAGGGCTTTCAGTATATTTGTTCTTCTCGTCTGGGATCCTGATGGGAAGAGGAGAGCGTTGGAATCCCCCGGCGAAACATGGAGAGCCTTCAGTGTTTGCGTTAGTGTGGTTCGCTCTGGTCTCTAGCGACTGACACTCCCAAATAATGCGTTTTCTGTCTTCGATGATGTTGCATGTGGTGCAGTTGGGAGACTTAATGCGCTTAATGAGATGAAGTCCCTTGTTGGTTGAAGCGCAGTCGGCTCGCAACCTGTGTAGGAGTGATTGTTGAGGCCTGGAGAACGTTTTCCGTGGAATCAAAGCTGGGATGGGTGTTGAATTGGTTTCAAAATATGGGTGCATGCTTTCTATTGCCGTTGTTATAAGAGATTTTGCTGCAGTGTACGGGTGGACAAAGATAGTGGGACTTTGGTCTGAGTGGGCCTCTGCTGCCAGCGAATCTGCTCTTTCATTTCCGGGTATACCTACATGTGATGGGATCCATTAAAACCAGGTGGTTG